TGGGTACCCTCCCCTCCACCCTCCCCCGTTGATGTTGAGCAACGATTCTGTGCTAATGCGGGTTTTGTTACTTTTTCACATTTGTAACAAGTGGTGGTTTTCCAGATTTGTAAATTATGTGTTTAGTGAGTAGTACCAACAAGAGAGGGAGATAATATAATTCTTAAGTGGTGACAATAGGTGAGTAGCCCCAACAAGAGATGAAGATAATACCATCCCTGAGTGATCCCAACAAGAGATGATGATAATACTATCCCTGGGTGGTCTCAACAAGAGATGATGACAATACCATCCCTGAGTGATCCCAACAAGAGATGATGATAATACTATCCCTGGGTGGTCTCAACAAGAGATGATGACAATACCATCCCTGAGTGATCCCAACAAGAGATGATGATAATACTATCCCTGAGTGGTCTCAACAAGAGATGAAAATAATATTATCCCTGAGTGGTCCCAACAAAAGATGAAAATAATAATATTCCTGAGTGGCACCAACAAGAGAGGAAGATAATATTATTCCTGAGTGGTCTCAACAAGAGATGAAAATAATATTATCCCTGAGTGGTACCAACAAGAGAGGAAGATAATATTATTCCTGAGTGGTCCCAACAAGAGGTGGGGATAATATTGTCCCTGACTAAACCAAACAAGAGATATGAAGATAATACCATCCCTGAGTGGTCCCAACAAGAGATGAAGATAATACTATCCCTGAGTGGTCCCAAAATAATATTATTCCGGATTGGTCCCAGCAAGAGAGGGAGATAATATTGTCCTTGACTAGTCTAAACAAGAGATGAAGATAATACTATCCCCGAGTGGTTCCAACAAGCGATGAAGATAATTCTATCCCTGAGTGGTCCCAACAAGAGATGAAAATAATATTATCCCTGAGTGGTCTCAACAAGAGATGAAAATAATATTATCCCTGAGTGGTACCAACAAGAGATGAAGACAATTTTCCTGACTGGTACTAAAAGCGATAAAACTAATAATATTCTTGAGTGGTACCAACAAAAGATGAAGATAATATTATCCCTGAGTGGTCCCAACAAGAGATGAAAATAATAATATTCCTGAGTGGTACCAACAAGAGAGGAAGATAATATTATTCCTGAGTGGTCCCAACAAGAGATGGGGATAATATTGTCCCTGACTAAACCAAACAAGAGATGAAGATAATACCATCCCTGAGTGGTCTCAAAATAATATTATTCCGGAGTGGTCTCAACAAGAGATGATGATAATATTATCGCTGATTGGTCCCAGCAAGAGATGGAGATAATATTGTTTTTGACTAGTTCAAATGCGAGATGAAGATAATACTATTCCCGAGTGGTTCCAACAAGCGATGAAGATAATACTATCCGTGAGTGGTTCCAACAAAAGATGAAGATAATATTATCCCTGAGTGGTACCAACAAGAGATGAAGACAATATTATTTCTGACTGTCACTAAAAGGCGATGAAAATAATATTATTCCTGAGTGGTACCAACAAGAGATGGAGATAATATTGTCCCTGACTAAACCAAACAAGAGATGCAGATAATACCATCCCTGAGTGATCCCAACAAGAGATGAAGATAATATTATCCCTGATTGGTCCCAGTAAGAGAGGGAGATAATATAGTCCCTGACTAGACCGAACAAGAGAAAGAAAATAATATTATCCATGAGTGATCCCAACAAGGGAGGGAGATAATATTATCTCTGAGTGGTCCGAACAAGGGATGGAAATAATAATACCCCTCACTGATCCCAACAAGACAGGGAGATGATATTATCCACGAGTGGTCCCAACAGGTGAGGGAGATAATATTATCCCTGACTGGTCAAAACAAGAGATGAAGATAATATTATTCCTGAGTGGTCCCCACAAAAGAGAGAGAAAATATCATTCCTGAGTGGTCTGAACAAAAAAGGAAGATAATATTATCCCTGAGTGATCCCAAGAAGGAGTGAGATAATATACTTGAGCGGCCCAAGAGTGAGAGTGATCATAGTATTTGCCCAGTAGCCCCAATGACAGGCAATATTATGCCGATATGTAGTCGTTTTCAATATTTTGTTAATTTTTGGTCTAATTCTGCTCTTTTGATTATTTGTACACATGTTGCTAGTAAAACGAATTGTTAAAGGTCATAATAATTCCATGTTGCTAAGTAAGTACTGTTTTACTTTATTTACTTTATTTATAGTGGTTTCGTCACATAGTGTTAATGACGCATTTTAACGTGTGGCAAAACGTTTGTTGATATGTACAGGTATTTGAGAAACCACCACAGTGGAAACCGGTCTCGTGCTGTCGCTATGCCATAGTCCCAAGCATGTAGACAACCATGCTGTTAAAACCTACGTCGACAATCACTGTCCGTGGTGAGGTTAACCAATCAACAAACTTACTCTATTGGTGAAAACTGTCCGCACTTTATTTGGATATTAATTTAAACAAGGGGCCCGCCTATACTATGAAATGCTTCATTGCGGCTCTGTATGCTTATTTCAAAACGAATCAAAAATTTGTCAAAATTTCAACTGCGTTGTGTGGGGATTTGTGAAATTATTACGACTGATTTGGTAATTTATCACTTATTATAGGAAAACGTTTCAAAAATGGACAACTTAAGGGTAACTTAATGGAGTCAACATCCTTGGATGACCTAGAATGTTCACCTATATAGCCATATTATGGATTCAGTTTATTCGATCGGTCTATCTTATCCTGCCAAACTTTAATCAACTTAGAGTTATCTGCCCACTATGTTTGTGTGTACGTGACTGACATTGCGTTATGGGTGATACTACATCAATGTCATTCTTGTTCCCTTCCCCTCCTTTGATGTAGCAGGCTCTGTACTACGCAGTGTGCATTTATCTCAGATTCTCATAATCGAAATCGTGCATAGTCAACTTCATCATGTTCTAGCCGTTTGCAAAAAACTGCTAACTGTACATCATATGTGAATATCAGCAAACAAGCTTCAACAGGTTTTCCTAAATGGGAAGTGCATACAAGCTTGAGGTGACTGTCAGAGGGAAACACTGTTTATCAGATGCCCCAAAATTCAGTCTGGTGTACTAACCGATAGCATCAACATTGTTCTACCCTGTGTAAGATTAACGGATCAGGGCTTATCAAAACTATGTGATACAGAATGTGGCCAATAACATCATTAGAATCACACGAGAACACAATACTGTAAAATCTCCCTCCTCATCAGATTGACAGATACTGTAACCAGTACCTTTCTAAGGAAATAATGTGGGTGACCAGCAGAAACTCTGCTTGCCAGAGAGCATAACAAGTATGCGATAAACGCAAGCATTGGGGAGTCGTATTGAAAGCTTGCTCATGCTACCTAAGTATTCAGTGGTAGACTCTATACTTTGGAATTTGAAATATCCTTCTGAATTAATATCATGGCCAGACCCCTAATTCAATGTTGTTATCACGGGGTCCACTAAGTCGGTAGAGCCAAATTGATTACTGAATTTGCTTTTAGGACCCAACTAGCATCAATTTGAAATTGCTGCCCCATGCACCATATGCTAGAACATGGTTGTAATCTGGACAAGTTTTCATGGTGGTTTTTATAGATTATGCGTGCTATTTATAATAATTCCAAGACTTTGATTATACTTGGTAGCTGTATAGGGAACAAGGATGCGCCAAGTACATCCTGCTCAAGCTGGTCAATCTGTCCATCTTAGTACTGAGCATTACTGCGCTAATTCAGCAGTGTATCGCACAATGTTTGACCATTCGTACGTATGTTATATTGATTAATACCTCACACACAATATCAACCACTACCAGGTATACATGCTTCTTGTTGATGTTCATTAGATTTACCAAAATATGGGTTTACAGAAAGTAATCTTCAGTTCACCTTGGGCCATTGTGATAAGTAAGTTTAATTAAATGTGTAACCTTAACGACGGGAATTAAAAATAATCCCCTCAACAAGAACAATAATACTAACTAATGAAAACAATTTCACTTCATTTGTACATTGTGCCGTTTTGCCGTTGGTGGGTGTAACATACATGTGTTCGTTTATCATTCCTCCAATTATGAACTACACAACGAAAATCATGTGTGTATGCGTTTGCACATGCAAAATCGAAGAAATAAATTTATGATTCCTGACAAATAATTATTACAATAATTACATTACATTTTTCATGAGATTTCTCATTTCACGGATCAAATAAAACAATTTGTCCAAATGACTGGTACTAATGGCGGACTGTTTGTATCGGGCGTACACGTGTCGTCGGGTGGTACGTGATATTTCTTACGTAATGTATACATGGAATATTAGAATCAGTTTATGTATCTAACACAGTCAGCTGGCGCACACGTGATAATAAAATAAATACGATATTTACTATATGGGGGCCGCCATCTTGAATGACGCATAAAACTAAATAAGAGACAAGTTGTGAAACGCGTTTTTCAGATTCCTACAAATCAGGACAAAAATACCAATCTTTCACAGAAATACGGTCCGTTGGGGTTATATTAAGCCAACCGATAACAAAATTCGGCCGAATTCGTCGTTTTTGTGTGGAAAAATCCCTTGCATACGAACACCTATTTACGCCAAGAACCTAGAACACTTTCCTGGGGGTATTTAAAACTAAAAATTGGCATTCCAGCCCAGCAGCCAATCAGCGACGGCCTAACGCTTAGATGACAATTTCGGTTTCAAATACCCCGGTTTATATGGTATGCGTAATATCGATGTCAACAAATCAATCAATGTATTGTGCATCCTGGGCATTTCTGTGGGAAAAAACACGCGTTTTACACAGATAACGATCATGTGTTAGAACAATAAATTGAAATAAGCATAGCTGGGAAGTTGACATGTTCTTTATTTGTTTTTTTCTTTTTCTTGTGACGCCCAATGTGGAAGGCGTGACGTTCACGTGATAGAGCAACATGTTGTATGCAATACAAGACCATGCGTACGTACAATACCGGTTATATAAGCATCTGGGAAGGTTTGTTATTTTCAATTCCTGACTCCAGCCTTGAATCAAGATGAAGTCTATCATTGCTATCCTGGCTATATTTTGCTTGGCGGTGTGTAATGGAGCAGGTATGTTTCCTTCCATTGATTTATATAGTTATACGCAAGGTAGGAATACTGGTCTATCATCAACTAGACGGGTACTGTCATTTCCATAGTCACTAGATAGTTTTAATGATATCATCAACTAATATTTTATAGTCGAATACCATATTTTGACACAATAGCTGCCCAGAATGTCTCGTTTGCAGAAGACGTGAATCGTTCGCCGTCATCGCGTAATTGCGAGCGTTGCGTTTAGAAGCGTGGATGCCACGGGATGTTGGGACTTATATGCACGCTTCTTAGTGGTATTACAAGTCGAATGTGATCAGCCATTAAACGAACGATAGACCCTCTGGGTTCTATGAACGAACATATTCGTAAACATACAGTAAGCGGATCAGTAAGCGTTGAGTTGAAGCTTCGGACGCACCACACACAGCGCCCTCGACTTGCGAGACCCGCGAGTCGCATACCTATCAAATAATACAACATAAAATAATGCTCTCATTCTAAGGGTGACAATCACCTAAATCATCTCCAACGATATTGTTGTCTAGATTCATTTGAGCCGAGTGACCACGGGATCTGTGAGACGCAAAATAGTATCCAACATTAACAGTTGAGCACATTATAATCTAATGCTTCATCTGTCCATATTTGTCTGATTGGCTGATTTTGAAAAGTATTTATATGTCACCTATTGTGCTTTGTTTAACCTTGCTGGATGACATACTTCAAAGCCATCACATTTACTGTTTTTGCCAAAATAACATGATCGAGACTAGGATAATGGTGATATTTCCTGTATAGCGACTGATGATGTGATCAGATATACAAAGCATAGAGCACAATATCTGTCTCTCAGTGTTGGCCAAATATCCCAGCCCACTAGAGTAACGTAAAGTAGCTACTGTCAGTCGAGTGTTGGAAGGTCACCGAAGTTTGTCTCTAGGCGATGGTCGAAGCCCACAAAGTAACATCTAGTGTCGGAATGCCTCCAAGAGAATTTAAACTACTTAAAATCTCAACAAAGTTTAGTTGAGAATCTTAGTCTTCATTTCATTTTTAGTGAAATATCCAAGGTAAGGTGATTCATATAACCAATCACGTGACTCGTGTGACACATGTTGCTATTGAACAGTGTTCCAATGTAAGCGTATGGGAGGGGTCACATGCAATAAATGAAATAAAAGACACATTATCGAGCGATAATGGCCAGTACCTTAATTACTACATAGTACAGCACACACAAAAAGTATCAGTATTATGAAATCACATAGAAGTCTTGAATTGAAAAAGGCCGACCATACAAGTATATATATACTTCAATTAGAAACTCATGGACATTTACATCCAAGTGAATCACGCCTATGAAGGTCTTAACAATGTAGTTAAAATCTATTCAATGGTTTTCAAATTGTAGTAATAAAAAATGCGCATATTTAATTAATATAATAATTACAATAACATAGCGTAGCAAATTTGGTTAAAATTCATTGAATGGATCTAGAGTTGTCTGTAAATTATAAAAATAAAACATCATTTACAGGAAAGACCAAATTATTTGTTATCTAACACATACAAAATACAGAAAAATGTGCCAAGATTTCCCCCATTAAGTGACCATTGCTGGCGCAAACACACATGTGTTTCTGTGCACTACAGAGCGAATTGGTTAAGAGATTACAGATGCAAGTGAAGATGGGAATATGTTTCATTTCAAAGTAGGGGGGACATCGTATCGTCCAATATGAAATATTATTTCTCTTCAAGTTTTTAATAAGCAGCCTATCGACTGAGATAGCTCAGCTGTTGGCAACACACATTTCAATCAATGAACTGAAGATATCATTAGAAAATGAACAAATCTGAGAGAGGTCTACCTGAGGTACCTATATGTATAGTATCAAAGCAACCAGATTTGAGGTTTTTAACAAGAAGTCAAAATATACCAAAAATGACAAAAATATTCATCAAAAATAGATATCACGAAATGAACAAATCTGAGAATGGTACATATACACCAAGTACCAAAGCAATAAGAATTGTAGTTTTCAAGAAGAAGTCGAAAAAGTAAAAAGTTGACATAGACGACAGATGCCGGACGAGGGACGACGACGAACGCTAACGTATGATAAGCTCCGCTTGACAACGTCAACAGTGGAGCTTAAAATTACGGAATGTTTAAACTATTTAAATAAAAAATCTCATGATTGTAAGCAATTCGAAAACCAAAAATGAAATGTCAATGATTGTACAGACAGACAGACAGACAGACAGACAGACAGACAGACAGACAGACAAAATATGAACAGTTCAGGGGCTTATTGTTCTTATTGCGCTTTGACTTCCCAATAAGTTGAATGATAATGTTTTTTTTATTTTACAATCTCTGAAATTGAATACATATTAGTATGAGAAACAGTATGCAACTATTGATTCTGAGACAAACGTCTTTATTTTGCAGAGGTTGGTTCTGTCAACTACCAGAGAGAAGTGAGCTACATTTTCTTTGATGATGAAGTTGACTGGTACCAGGCACGTCAAAATTGCAAAAATATTGGTGGGAATCTTGCGACAATTTCCAATCAAGCAGCAAATGACGTCATCGTGAACTTCTTAGACGCCAATGGATTCTTCGGAAGCGAGGATACTGGGGTATGGATTGGCTTAAATGATATCGATCAAGAAAATGACTTTCAATGGGTAGATGGATCTACTTGCTCGTATACGAACTGGGGTAATGGGGAGCCTGACAACAACAATAAGCAAAATCCCGCTGGTCAGGACTGTGGGCAAATAAGGTAAGATTTTTTAAATTATATGTATACGTGTTTTTTTCAAGTATTTTTGTGAGAGAAATTATAAGATAAACTGCACATTGTTGCGCCAAAAAATCATTCATTGAGTTATATTTTTTAGGACTTCGTCCATGGCTTGGGACGACGACTACTGTGCATGCATTAGAGCTAAGGGCTACATTTGCGAAGTAGAAGGTAAGAATCAATTCTTATTCATGGTGAAATTGCAATTTGAAAATATAGCTGCTTCGCAACAAGGTACAGCAGCATGGCAACAATCTTGTTGGTGGCCAACGATGTTGCATTCGAGTAAATGGGTGTATGTTCCAAGTATGAGCTCTTTTCAACATATATACTCAAACTTTCTACCATGTTGATTTCATACAAACATAATTTCTGTGAGGTTTCCTTCATCAGTCATCAATACAAATGATTGTTAACATTTTATGCCGCATTGCTTCATGCCTTACCCATGTTATTGTTTGTGCTTTTTTTCAGTTTGCTAGGCCGCAGATCATCTGGAATGCACCAGTTCGATGCTGTAACCACAGCACATCTATTAATCAATGCCGATATCACTCCAGTATAATGCACATACACAAATATGAATTTATATATTAATTAATTAATATCTTTAATTTTAACTATTTTTAGTCATTAATCCCGGTTAAGCCTTTAAATTTTATTGTAAATGTCCGCAATGCAAGTAACAGTGTCCAATTAAATAAGTTATCGACTTTCAGTCATGTAAATTAATGAGAAATAAGATAAAAGTGAACACCATGTATGTTTAAGGCTGATAGTGTTAATGAAGGTACCTGAAACTGAGTCAAACCACACTATTTGTATCGACAGTTACCATAACAAGATTATGTATTGACTTTCTGTATAGAAAAAATACACGACTGGGACGCAATCGTTCAGATATTGAATGACACTGAAGACGTATGTCCGAGTGAAGTTTGATATCAGAACGATGCACAGCACGGGTGAATTTTCTGACTTACAACACATCAACCATACCTGAAGAGTGCACTGGCCAAATCACATTCAATCGATTATGTTTGAATAAATGTATGTGTTTTTTTTTAAACCAGAAAATGTTCACATAACATTTACAGACTGGGGATATTGCAAGTGAGCGACACACACTGCATAACAACTTATTTGTAACTACATTTTAAACGTGACAAGTTTTGACCACTCAGACATCGAATTTTTGGTGCATCAAGGAACAGGATGACGGCCTTTGAGCTTGGAGTTGCGTTTTCGAATCCAGTGGCCTCGTACCATAGCTTTAACATTTTGTATTTTCTATACTTATCTATTAAACAGTAATATTTGTGTGACTATATGACGGAAAAACAATATCTAGATAATGCTCGGCACCGGATTACTCTATCCGAGAATTCCCCACAAAAACAAAGAGATAGATCTCGTGTAGTGCTGTAAGTAACAAATACATTTGATAGCTAGCTACCATGAACATATAACATTCACCGCTACACTACTTTTACTTTGGCCGCATGCAATATTTACAGATAAATGTACGCAAGTATGAGAAAAACGAATCGGTGCCAAATAACAGAATACATGCAATATTGATGCAGCGTAAGGTGCAAGCGTGATGGCTTGAAACGATTTCGGAAGCGACCGCATGCTTTATTTTAACTACTCTTAAACTCTTGATGTTTAAATGTAAACCAATTTGTTTTATACAATTTATAAAGACATGCCAAAAGCAGACGACATTTCAATTAATTTTACATACGGTTACTAGAATATTGCCCCACGTTGTATTTTATGAACCCCCAAATAAATTACATGATGCTGATGTTGGCGATTCTGGGGAATGAATGAACTAATAATAAGGGGGCACTGTGGATTGCTTTTTGTGTACTTGATTTGTGTTAAATCATCATATAAAAACAACAGGGTATGATTCATCATAAATTAAAAACGCTGTTTTAGCAGCAAATATTGCTAAAAAAAATAGTCAACGTTATCTATTGAAAATCCTGTTCAAATCAAATACTAGTTAAGTTTATGAATATCCGCAGATATCCACACTGCTGGCAACTCTCCAATACTCTAACACGCTATGCTGAACAAGAAACAACTAACACACAATTGACAATTTAGAAAACATATAATTAATCACAGTGACTGTAGCCGGCACTGAGTGAGGAGAGCAGTTTTTGTGCTCCATAAGCTGGAAGACTGTTTAGGCTGCTGTATTGTGTGAACATACTATCAGGCATTGATCGCTGAGAACACATGTCGGGCAACAAACCCGCAACTAGCAACATCGCGTGAACACTTTAGATAGATTCATGGTTGAAAACGCAAGGCAAAGAACGGGAATAGCTCATGATCAAGATGCTTTTCCACCTGAGCATGGACACAATAGCGTGGATAACTATGTAAAACAGCAGTACTGGCCCCTTTACTTCACTAGCCACCGTAGTATATGAGCGACACATGGGTCACAATCGTCTTGACCCTGAACATCAGTTACATCATCATTATGACATCTCACAAAGTCTCATTAAATGTGAAGTGAAGCTTCTACAACAGCAGTGTTTTCACAATGATGCATGTACAAAGTTTCGGGGCAACATGTATCCCAAATTTTCCAAGATGTATACCTTAAATGGAGCCATGCAGAAAATTACAAGTAAATCTTCATGGTCGGGAAATAGGATACCAAATTCTAAGTTTGAATAAACCTAATTGACGTTAGCCTGGGTGGACATATCCTCAGCAGTCTCTGTAGCATAAACACAATTGATGGATTTCAGGACTTATCAGGACATGTATATATAAACAAGCAGCCTGTCGGCTGAGATAGCTCCGCTGTTAGCAATGCACATGGCAATTAAAGAACAGAAGATATCATTAGAAAATGAACAAATCTGAGAGAGGTCCACATGTAGTACCTATATATGTAATATCAAAGCAACTGGACTTGCGGTTTTAACAAGAAGTCGAAAATATCACTTTTTACCAAAAATTACAAAAATATTCACCAAAATTAGAGACTTAAAGATATCATTAGAAAATGAACAAATCTGATAGAGGTCCACATGTAGTACCTATATATGTAATATCAAAGCAATTGGACTTGCAGTTTTTAACAAGAAGTCGAAAATATCACTTTTTACCAAAAATGACAAAATATTCACCAAAATTAGAAAATTAAAGATATCTTTAGAAAATGAACAAATCTGAGAGAGGTCCACATGTAGTACCTATATATGTAATATCAAAGCAATTGGACTTGCGGTTTTTAACAAGAAGTCAAAAATATCACTTTTTACCAAAAATATTCACCAAAATTAGAGAATTAAAGATATCATTAGAAAATGAACAAATCTGAGAGAGGTCCACATGTAGTACACCTATATATGTTATATCAAAGCAACTGGACTTGCGGTTTTTAACAAGAAGTCGAAAATATCACTTTTTACCAAAAATTACAAAAATATTCACCAAAATTAGAGACTTAATAGTCGATTTGTTATTTCTTAAACCTAGAAATGTTGTTTCCTATGGAGTTTTTTTAATGATTTACATTCATATGGGACCAAAGAACAATTTTAGCTTGGTTGCCAAAATTGCAACATTGGGCAACTCTGCTAATTTGCATAATCCAAGATGGCCACCAAACGTCATCTGGAAAATTCAACTCTTGACCCACCTGTCCTACTATAGTGCGTAATACCTCTTTTTTAAGGTTTTGTGTGTAGAATTCATTTCTGATGTTATTTTTTTATTTGCAGGTCAACTTTTAGTGCTAAAGGTCAGATCAAAATTAACTTTGACCTTTATTATTTTA